GAGGAGGGTTTTTTGCAACAATTTTCATCAGGATTCCACATTGCAATGATCAAATCCTGAGAAATCTCAGAGATTCTTCTAAAACAGAACTCTGGGACTAAAAACTCTTTAATAGAAGGTAGACGGGGCTGCAGAAACCCCTGCCTGCGAGAGTGGACTCCGCCACTCATGAGCTTAGTTCTGTGATTTCTAGAAGTCATTTAGCCACATCGCTTTAAAACAAACCAGTGAGTGTATGGACCAAAAGCAGGGCTAAGCATAATGACATCAAGGCTGGGCGCGGTGGCTCACGCCTGTAATCCTGGCACTCTGGGAGGCCGAGGCGGGAGGATCGCTCTAGGTTAGGAGTTCGAAACCAGCCTGAGCAAAAGTGAGACCGCGTCCTCTACTAAAAATAGAAAAAAATTAGCTGGACAACTAAAAATATATGGAAAAAATTAGCCGGGCATGGTGGCACATGCCTGTAGTTCCAACTACTTGGGAGGCTAAGGCAAGAGAATCACTTGAGCCCAGGAGTTTGAGGTTGCTGTGAGCGAGGCTGACGCCACAGCACTCTAGCCTAGGCAATAAAGTAAGACTCTGTATCAAAAAATAGAAATAAAAATTTTTAAAAAAGTAAAAAAATAAAATTAAATAAATAAAATATAATAAAAAAATTAAAAATTAAAAAAAATTAAAAATAAGTAAATAAATAAAAATAAAATAAATAAAATAACAAACAAAAAATAAAATAAATAAAATAAAAAATAAGAAATAAAATAAAATAAAAAAATAAAAAATTTTAAAAATTAAAAAATTAAAAATTAAATAAATAATGACATCAGAAAGACTCAGGACATGCAGCACCCTCTGGGCTAGGCCACCCCGTCTCTTCTGCACTTGGACAATTTAACAGTCATCAACTGCAAGATGAATACGACAGCCTCGTCTTCATTGTAGGTTTAAAATTTAATTCCTGAGATCCCTAAGCCAGGATTGATTTTCCCCATAAGAAAATATTTTATTCTGACGCTGAAGCGTCAGAGGGGCCACGTGACTCTCCAGGGTGGAAAGTGACAAGCTTTCTAAGTCCCTTCCCGAGTCATGGTTTTCTCCTCCGGGGAGAGACGCCGGGTGGCGGTGAAGTGGGCCCGCACGTCACCTGGGTTCCATCTCTGCTGAGCAGGAAATGCACCAGCACTTACGTCATTTTCCAGAGAGTGCACGAAAAAACCAATACAGGACCAAAAAAAGAAAAAAATTCTATGAGCAGGAAATCTCTAAGGCACAACCTGTCCCTCTCTGTGGCTCTCGGCTTCCCTGGGAGCCTCCCAGAAGTGACTTGAATGCCTCAGAGACCACTTAGCGCTGCACGGAGACCAGGACAAAGATTAAGTTCTCATAGGAAGTTCACATATCAAGTCTGAGAATTCGGCACTGGGTTAACTGTGACTCCACTTGTAATAAAACACTGTGTGTACACGTGCGCACACACACATACACACACACACACACGCACAAAATATAAAACAGTAAGGAAAAGAGCAAAAACCAAAGAAACATATAAAGCAGGGTCGAAAAGTTTATCTCAAACACCCAGAAGAGCAAACTTTGAAACACAGGAAATAAAAACACAAAAAAAGACTTCTGAAATTATCAAAAGCAACCTCCAATGAATGGAAGAGGGCACTGTGACCCAGGAGGATAAATGTCCCCCATGGGTGGGCCTCAGCCACATGGGTCTGCACAGCCCACATCTGGGCCAGCGGCTTTATCTCTTCCACTCCTGGTGAACTTGTCAATATACGCCATATAAATCTCAGAATTAGCCCTTAAGGTATCGCCCTCTGCTTTCTAGAATCAGGGTGTGCATGAAATTTGAGGGGGTCATTCAGTTCATTCCCCTTACATTAAGCAGAATCAAGTTTCATTGATATAATAGAGACTCACTTTCCTTTTTTGAGACCTAAAAAGAAGATCAGGTCTCAGTTACTTTGCTATTGCCCACATTTATTGATTCCAAACAATATTAGAGTACCTATGATGGGTAACTCACTATGTCATGGGAAATGAGAAATAAATTAATTAATTGGGCATGGATCCTGTTCATAAGATACCCGCTGACTAGTAGGAAAGATAAGGCAGGTACCAAAATAATTACCAAATCGGGCAGACAAGGGCCAGGAAATTACAACAGGACTACAGAAGATAGTGTCATCATTCTCAGCTGGGGGAAGAATCAAGTGACTTACAGGCAACTCTGAAATGGAATTAAGATATATGGAGAAACAAGGACATTCCAAGCTAGGGACTGTGTAATTAAAAGCAAGGCAATAGCAAGCAGGAGAAAATGTAAGCAGTTCAGTTTTACGAAAGGAAGCATACATATTGGAGAGTTTGTAGATTATAAAACTTGAAAGGTAGACTTAGTCCAGAATGTTCAGGATTTCAGGAGCTAGGAAAGAGGTGCTGCATTCCATCCTATAGTCCATATAGAATCATTTATCCCTTATACATAAATTTTAAGGAGCTCCTAAGTAATGGGCACTAGAGCTGCAAACTTGAACACCACGTGTGATCTACTTCCAAGGGTCTTACTCTCTGCTGGAGTGACAGGTAAGTAGTTAATGATGACAGTCCACAGTGTGAGAAATGTCACGGTAATGTGTACATAGTCACATTGGAGGATACAAGAATAGGGAATAACAACAGAAGATTTCTCAAAGGAAGAAACTGTGAAGACCGGTAGTAGTTATCTAGATAGAGAAGGGTATATGGGTATCCAGGTCATGACAAAATCGTGTTAAAGACACTTGCCAGTGTAAGAAGTACAAAGTATTCAGAATAAATCTAGCGAAAGGCTAGGAGCGTGGAGGGAATAGGGCTAAAGGACAGCCCCAGGGCCAGAAAACACAGGGTCCACGGCACCAAGAACTCCAACTACGTTTTAACTCAAAGCCACAGGAAAACTGTGAAATTATTATGATGCATAAAAAAAGGCACTTGTATTCTAATGTTTACAGAAGCTCAATTCACAACTGCAAAGATGTGGAAAGTGCCCAACAATCCATGAGTGGATTAATAAAATGTGGTGTATGTATACCATGGAGTTCTTACTCAGCCACAAAAAAACAGTGGTGAACTGGTACTTTTTGTAACAACCTGGATAGAACTGGAGACCATGATCCTAAGTGAAGTATCACAACAATGGAAAAACAAACACCACATGTACTCACTCTTAAACTAGAACGATAAAAAAAAAAAAAATTGTGCTTTGTGAAAATAAACCTGGTGGCAATGTATAGGAAAAAATGGGAAGAGTAAAGACCAAAGTCACTGCAAAATACTTTTCCCCAGAATCTAGAAAAGTAGAGGGTTCAAGCTGGCCCAGTACAAGTGAGAATTTCAGGAGATGGAATTCATCTGGTTGAGCAAACCAAGAATTAGAGATCAAAGGAAGATGCTAGATAATGTCATGTTTTCAAATAGATACAGCAGGAAATCTAGCGGTGGAAAAATACCTAAGAGGTAAAAGGAGAGAGGAGCCAGTGGAGAGAGAGAAGGGGACCTGCCATCTAAAGGTTCATCAAGCCAACAGGGGGTGGAAGGTTTGGGTGCTGTGGAGAGTGTGAAGGCAATACAAGGTGGCCTCTGGTGACCACGGCAAAAGATGGCTGTCCATAAAGCAATGTCAGGAGAGGATTGAGCAGAAGCCAAACTACAAGAAAACTATTAATCACTGGGTTGTGAAAGCCGAGCGCCCTTTGGAACTCTCTGGAGAAATTTAACTGTGGTGGGAAAAGATAATTTGAGAAGCATCGTGAAGTTTTTTGGTAGCAGACACTTGAAATGGGTTGTAGGCCAGAAAAAAGAATTAACAAGAAAGAGGATTCAACAACCTTTCCTGGCAGGAAGTTCATATTTCTAACTTTAATCTATATCCCAGATAATTTCCTTCTTGCTTTGTTTTTGAAGATCAAGAGCTTCAATTCGCCATCCTCTAAATGGTGAGGAACTCCATGTATTTGGGGTCCATTATTCATTCACACCTCGGCCTTTATTTCTGGCTGAAAACACCGATCCATTAGTACTTTCTTGTGAGTTTAAACTCTCCAAACTTTTCATCATCTCCATGGCTTTTCCTCTGTGCCCGTCTCTGCATTCTACAGAGTCTTCTTTGAAAAAACTTCACAAGAGGGTCTAATAATTTAATAAAGGCTGTGCCTAAATTGAGTTCCTAACAAAGGGCAGTTATATGATGATTCCTCTACAGCAGTGGTTTCCAAACTCATTTTGTTTTGTTTTCAAAACAGAGGAACCATTTCTTATAATTAAATCATCTTTGAGATAAAAAATAAATAAATAAATAAACCTCTTCTGATTAAAGTGAGGGTGAGCGAAATAGAGTCCCAATTATGGGACATGTCCCCTCCCCACTGTGCTGAACTACTGATGTCACCCCAAGAACCCCAGGGGTCTGGGAGCCACTGTTTTACAACATGCTTTGGTGTCTGTCTAGGTGTTAGAATCACTGTTTAAGCTACAGGATCTCAGTGCTGAGTAACAGCTGTGTTTTGTTTATTAGTTTCTAACATTTCTCATAAAACACTTATGCGAGTTATCTTTCCTATGCCATATAAAAAGCATTGCCTTGACCACTACATGATCTGTAGATTGTTCCTGAATCATTTTCCTACTTTACAAATGGGATGCAAAACTCTGATCACACATTCCCAGCGCCAGCTACCTCCCTCCTCCATTCGTGACAACTGCAAACATACCATGCACCGTTTCTACGCCAGGGGTCACTCACGAGCAAAGAAGCAACAGGACTGACCCAAACGTGCTGCATTGCCAATAAAACATGTGGTCTCATTTTTTCCCCTCTCCAAAGAAAAGTCCAAATTAATGAAATTCCTCTTCTGCTACATTTCCTAGAAGCACTGAGCTACAAAATGCATAATCTATAAAAAGTGATAGAAGGAGTCATAAAAAGCAGACTCGTTCTCTTTACTACTAACCTAATAAATTTGACAGCCAGGCCCAGGTCTGCTATGCAGCAAGTTCCATTCTTCTTCACCAGGATGTTCTTACTTTTCAGGTCTCGGTGGGCAATGGCCGGCTTGCCTTGGGTGCTAAAGATTTCAGTGTGCAGGTGACACAAGCCACTGACGGAAGAATAGGCCAGCTTCAGCATGGATTTACTGTCCAGCGTGGTGGACTTCAGATAGTCATAAAGGGACCCGTTTTCGTGGTAGTCTGTGATTAGGTACAGTTGGGTCCAAGACCCTGTCCCTTTGATATCTGCAGCAATGAAGCCTAAAAGGAAACAAGACAGAAAGGTTTGCTGGTGTTTTCTGAAGACTACCAGGAACAATTCATACTCTTAAAAATCACTTTTTCTCATAGGTATCTTTTGTTTAGCATTTTATCCAATTCAATTTTTCTGATTATGCCTCTGATCATATTAGATGCCAATCAGAGGCAATCAAAATTGTAGGGGTAGAGAGAGATTAAGAACGTGTACCTGAAAACATGCCCCCTCTCTGATCAGCAGGGGATGTCTAAATTATTTTATGGTATTATAGCTACATATAAGACACTGTTTCCAAAACAGGTTCCTTAAGGCGTATAACACCTTGCATTCTTACTCTCTTTCTACTTGAATGATTGAAACAGACCGTTTCTAAATTGAGAAAATAAAAAGCAAACCAACTGTCAACATAAACTCTTGATAGAAATAAATCGTGCAGCTGAAATTCCCATAACCATGCACGACATTGAAACGAAAATACACTCCTTCAAAATCCCCGAGAGACCCTAAGAAATTCCACTATTACATTTGCATTTCCTGTTTCTTAAGAGAGTATTCCATTTCCAGCCCACCATTAATTCGCAGAAGTGCCTTAGTCATTGCTCCTGTGAGGTCCCCCCTGTTAGAAGCTTATGACATTCTTGGGCCCAGGCCAGGAAGAAAACTCCGATTTCATAAGGGGTCTAGACAGATGATTTAACATGCAGATGTGAACAGGAAGCTCGAAAACCCTGAACGTTGCAATGCAGATGTGGACTCACCCAGAATGTTTTCGTGCCTCATCAACACCGTCTGATATATTTCTGTCTCTCTGAACCAGCTGGCCTCCTCGGTGGTAAAGAACACTTTCACAGCTACCTTCTCGCCACGCCACCTTCCCATCCAAACTTCCCCGTAGCGACCTTTTCCAATCTGTTTCACCATCTGAATCTGCTTAGCTATAGTCCTTTGGACCTGTGAAGTCCCAAAACACACCCTTAGTGTATTCACAGCACTACAGATTTATTTAAATTTTTTTTTTCCTACAGAGAAGAAACAATCACTGCATGGAGAATATATTTAGCCTGTATTTTTCTTTATAGAGACGAGTTATTTGTATTTATTTATTAATTTGTGCTGTGCTCTTTTTAACATATTTAAGATCGATGGCGGATGCTCAATGTTCAAAATATTGCTTCCAAATGACTCGATATTTCACTCTACCAATTATAATTTTCACAGAGGAAAACAACCTGAATGGGTTCGCAGGAATTGGCAGAATGCTGTCACTGTCACCACTATAATGAGATACTAGATGCTCGGAGGGGACTTTTGCCACCATAAACCTAATCATGTATAAAATGCAACAAAACAAAACTGAAATGCACTGTTTGGCACATGAGGAAATAAAGAAAATCTCCAAACAGGGAAGGAGGGAGGAAGAAAAGGAAGAAAGGAGTTGAGATCAAAGCAAAGAACAATAAGTATTAAGCATCTACAAAAAGCCAGGTTGCTGTCTAAGAAAAATACCAACATTGGGATCCAGAGTCTTTGATCCCTTTAAAATTAGAAGAATTGAACCCATGGCTTCAGCATTCAGCTGAGACCACCAAATGGTACTAAATATGCACTAGGTTGGTAGCACACGTTGGCTCTCAAATATAACCCCTCTCTTGAGGAAATGATTTGCAGAATGCCTTTCATTCTGTGACTATGGTGGGCTAACAGCACTTTGAAGGAACTTTTGCTACCATATGACTTGATCGTAGATAAAATACATAATATAAGAAATAACTGGTAATGCACTGTTGACTTCACAAAAAAATAAAGAAAATCTCTAAGAGGTGGGGGTGGGGGATGGGAGAAAAAGGAACAAAGAAAATGGAGGAAGAAAAGGGGAAAAGTGAGAGAAGATCGTACAGAATAAATTCCTTAAAACAAAAAGAAACAGCCAATATAAATGAGAGGCAACGGAAACAACCCAAATAGACTTACCCACTTCAGATTACATATTGGAATTTCAGATATAGACTATCAAGTAACTACACAGAAAATGTGTAAAGAAATAGAAAGGTGGAATGGAAAATCAGCAAGAAAAGATCATTAAAAATTACACTTTTGAGTGGAACAGTTCATTGTTACAAGCAAAAATGCAAAATGGAAAGGCAAAACAGTAGACGAGAGAGAAAAATTAATGAGTTAACCAGAGAAAGTAGCAAATGAGAGAGGAAGTTTTTGACCAAGCTATAAAAGAGTTCTGAAGTCACAGAGTGTGGTAGAGACAAAGAGGAAGAAAATGTGAGTTACGTGGCATTGAAGTTAAATGTCTCCTTATCCACAATCTTCATCCCACCTGCACTTAAAAGATTCTTAATATTTTAACATAACCGTTGAATTCTGATAGCAATCGTCGTAAGGCAGAAAGGGCTAAGTATCTATTAGAATTTAGATCATTTGGAACACATACATAAAGATTCTAGCAGAGAACTTTCATAAGATCTGATCAGAAAACTGGAAAGTACTTTACATCAAATAAAAACCCTTTGTACTCGGATGTCGAGTGTGACTCAGCATGGTTAGCAAAATTTATAGAGATTAAAATTACTCTTTGAATGTATCAATAATTTGAAATATAAAAAAATCAAAACGAATAAGTTAGTATGAAAAGAAACTCCAGTTTTTTATTCTACTGCCGCGCTTTGTAAAATCTGGGGTATTTAAAAAATTAAATCCTGAGAAGAATAAAGGAATCGAGAAAAAAAGCAAGCTAGTGCAAAGGGTTAAAACTGTTTCTTTTTGTACTCGTAAGGCCCCTCCAATGACCCTGGGCCAATCCAGATAATCCAGAATGATCTCCTAATCTCTCAGTCAACTGATCAGCAACCTTAATTCTCCTTTGCCAGGTAACCTAACAGACCCGTGTGATCATGATATAGACATTTCCAGGGGGCACTTTTCTGCCTATCACAGCTGTCTGTAAACTAGGATGGGTTCAATTTTTCACAATGGATGACTTTGTCAATTAAACAGGCAATGCTAGCCAGTGCCAAGATCGTTACAGGCACTAATGTCAGATCGAAAGCTTTTGGGAAAAAGACAGTCATTTTTTTTTTTTTCCTAAGAGGATTAAAGAGTAAAAGAATTGCTGCTATGCCAGGAAGCCAGGGAAGCCCGATGAAAATAAGCAAGTCCACCCCTTCCTTTGGGAGTCGGGCGTGCTGGGTGAGGAATCATTCAGCGCACTGTACTTTTATTCCCAAACGAGGAAACAGAAGCATCAAGAGTCCCAAGCAGCTGGGAGCCAAATACACAAGTCGTGGAGAAGAAACTGCCCTAATTTATTAAAGAAATATTACACTTTCTTTATAGATATTACAAAGCATTGTTCATGTTAAGTCTTTGAATATTTCCTAATAGAAACAGTTTTGCATCTGCTTCTTTACTAATGATAACATATCTCATAATTCAATAAAAGGACTGACAGAATTGGCAAGGATCGATAGAATAAGAACAATTTATCACAAAGATAAAAAGAGTTACTAGGGAGTGAGATGGCAGAATAGAAACTTCCAGCGATCGTCCCTCCACACGAACACCAATGTCAACAACTATCCACGCAAACAAGCACCTTCAGAAGAACCAAAAATCAGGTGAGTGATCCTACTACCTGGTGTTAACAATATATCAAAGAAAGAGGCACTGAGGAGGGAGGAAGAGAGTCTTGCATGGCCTATGGCAGCACCCTCCTCAAAGCCCCACCACCACCCGCAGTGCCTGGACAGGGGGCCAAGTGGAAAGAGAATCTGTGTGTAGGAAAAGAGTGAAGTGATCGTGAGACTTTGCATTAGAACCCAGGGCCACCGTGACATGGAGGGGGACACGGCACGGGGCAGAACTCTGCCAGTGCCTGGGGGTGGTATTTAGACCAGCTCTGCCAGGGGGAAGTCCTCACCCCAAATTGTGTCCCGCCTAACCCCACCAGCTAAAAAAATGTAGGCTGGGACCTGGACTAAATTTGGGAGGCAGTCAGGCAAAAAAGGCTACAGTCCTTGGGCAATTCCTGTGGCTGTGCAGGCCAGTGGTGGTGGCCAAGTCAATGCCTGTGTCCCCAACTTCAGAAAGTCCAGCTCAGGGAGGGTCTTCTTCCACTTGGGGAAAGGAAAGTGAAAAATCCAAAGGACTTTGTTTTGCAACTTGAGCAGCATCTCAGCCACAGTAAAATAAAGTATCAAGCAGACCCCTGAAGGCCTGAGTCCAGGCCTTTGCTCATGGAAGGCATTTCTGGACCCACCCTGGGCCAGAAAGAAACATGCTGCCCTGAAGGGAAGGACCCAGCCCTGGCAGGATCTACCACCTGCTGACTGAAGAGCACTTTGGGCTTTGGATAAACATCAGAAGTAGCCAGGCAGCAGTCAACACAGGCTTTGGGTGATACTGGGCTGGTTTCAGGTGTGACCTGATGCTGGTGGCCACGAAGGAGTGCCCACACCACTCCTCTCCCAACTCTACCAGCCCAGCACAGAGTGAGAAACTCTGCCTAGTAACCCAAGGAATTCTCTTGTATCTTACCCAAGTCCATCAAGGTGCTACCACCAGGAATCTTGAAGAGTCACAGCATTGCTAGGCCTGGGGCATCCTCAGTGCTAATATGGCAGCAGTGACCAAAGACTTAGATCACTACACTCAATTTCCTTTGAATATCTGGAAAGCCTTCTCAAGAAGGATGGGATCAAACAAGTTCAGACTTCAAAGATCAAAAATAATACCTAACTCTTCCATTCCTAGACAGCAATGAACATCCACAAGCATCAAAAACATACAGGAATATATGACCTCACCAAACAAACTGAATAAGGTACTAGTGACTGATTGTGGAGTGATGGAGTTATGTGACCTTTCAGACAAAGAATTCCAAATATTAATAGCTGCCCTGAACAAGCTCAATGAACTTGAAAACAACACAGAGAGGGAATTCAGAGGCCTATCAGAGATATTTAACAACAACAACAAAAAAAAAAATTTTTTTTTTAAATGAAGCAGAAATTCTGGAACTGAAGAATTTTACTGACAAACTGAAAAATGCATTAGAGTCTCTTAATGACAGAATTGACCAAGCAAAAGAAAGAATTAGTGAGCTTGAAGACAGACTATTTGAAAATTCATAGTCACAAGATAAAAAAGGATAACTAGAAAATAGCCTCAAAAGGGCAAATCTAAGAGTTATTGGCCTTAAAGAGGAGGTAGAGAGAGACTGGGGTAGAAAGTTTATTCAAAGAAAATAATTAACAGAGAACTTTCCAAACCCAGAGAAAGATGTCAATATTTAGGTATAAGAAGGTCATACAACACCAAGTAGATTTAACCCAACAAGACCACCTCAAGGCATTTAATAATCAAGCTCCAAAGGTCACAGATAAAGAAAAGGTCCTAAGGGAAGCAAGGGAAAAGAAAAAAATAAGATATAAAGGAGCTCCAATAGATCTGACAGCACGTTTCTCAGTGGAAACCTTACATGCCAGGAGAGAGTGGCATGGCACGTTCAAAGAGCTGAAGGAGAAAAACCTTAACCCTAGAATATTGTATCCTGCAAAAAATACCCTTCAAACTGGAAGGAGAGGCCAGGCACAGTGGCTCATGCCTGTAAGCCTAGCACTTTGGGAGCCCGAGGCAAGAGGATTGCTTGAGGCTAGGAGGAGTTCAAGACCAGTTTGAGCAAGAGCAACAAGACCCATCTCTGAAAAAATAGAAAAATCAGCCAGGTCTGGTGGCACACACCCATAGTCCCAGCTACTTGGAGGCTAAGGCAGGAAATCACTTTAGCCCCAGAGTTTGAGGATGCAGTGAGCTATATAATGACACCACTGCACTCTAGTCCAGGTAACAGAGTGAGTGAGACCCTGAAACTACTAAAAGAAATCATTGGGGTAATGTTTCAGGACATTGGCCTGGGCAAGGACTTCTTGAGTAAATATACCCAAGGCCCAGGCAACCAAAGCAAAATTGGGCAAATGGGATCACATCAAGCTAAAAAGCTTCTGCACAGCAAAAGAAACAATCAACAAAGTGAAGAGACAACCCACAGAATGGGAGAAAAATACTTGCAACCTACCCATATGAAGAGGAATTAATAACTAGAATATGTAAGGGAGGACCACTGGGAAAAGTCAAATGATCCGATTAAAACATGGGCAAAGTATCTGAACAGACATTTCTCAAAAGAAGGCATACAAATGGCCATTGGGTATGTGAAAAAAATGATCCACGTTATTAGTCATCAGAGAAATGCAAATCAAGACTACAATGAGATTTCTCAATCCAGTTAAAATGGCTTGTATCAAAAAGACAGGTAATAAGGAATGCTGGTGAGGATGTTAAAAAGGAGGAACTCTCGTACACTGTTTGTGGTTATGCAAATTAGTGTAACCACTATGGAGAACAGTATGGAGGTTCCTCAGAAAACTGAAAATAGAATCATATGACCCAGCAATCCCACTACTGGGTATGATTCTAAAGAAAGGGAAATCAACATATCAAACAGGTATCTGCACTCCCATGTTTATTGTAGCACTATTCCCAATAGTCAAGATTTCAAATCAACCTAAGTGGCCATCAATGGATGAATGTATAAAGAAATTATGGTACAAATAAACAATGGAATATTATATAGCCACAGAAAAGAATAAAATCCTGCCATTTGCAACAATTTGGATGGAACTGGAGAACATTATGTTAAGTGAAATAAGCCAAGCACAGAAAGACAAATCTCACATGTTCTCACTCATACTTGGGAGCTAAATATTAAAAACAATTGATCTCATGGAGACAGAGAGGAGAATGATAATAACCAGAGGCTTGGAAGGGTGGCAAGGAGAGAGAGATAAAATAGGGATGGTTAATGGGTACAAAATTATGGTTAATTAGACAGAACGAACAATATATAAGATAACAAAGTGACTATTATCAACAATAAGTTAGTTTAAAATAACTAAAATAGTAGAAATGCAATGTTCCCAACACAAAGAAATGATAAATGCCTGAGCTGAAAGCTATCCCAATTACCCTGAGTTAATTAATTCACACTGTATGCCTGTATTAAAACATCACATGCAACCTATAAATGTATACAACTATTATGTACCAATAATTAAAAATTTTAAAAAATGACTGGTACTCACTAGCCCAGAAAAAAAAAGTGTTATTAAATTTTATTCAAAAGTTTAAAATACACTTGCATTGTGATATTTATTACAACATCTAAGAACCCAAAAATGTAACCTGAAAACTTTTAAACCTGTGATTTATTTTAGTTTTTATTTGATTTGGTAAATGTTTCTGGTCTTCCTATACCTTAAGAACTGTCATTGTATATTACATTCTTAGATATCAATTTTGAAAGGTTTGATTGCATACATAAAATGCCTGTAAGATATAATCACTGTAACTATAACTCCAAAAAAAAGAATTATTTTCATGTATACTGGGAACAACTGAATATATAAGGATTTACAAGGAATTATCACTATTGCAAGATTGTCATCTCATCTAGTGATTAGAAATTTCATAGTCTCTAAAGTTTAAGTTCACGTATGGACAATAGAACACACAGCTGTAAATAATGCTCTGTACTCTCTACTATATCCCTAAATTAGCAACACACACACATACACATCCTTCTATGCAGAAATATATGGATTAAAATACTTTGCTTAGTAAGGCTAAACTAATAATTCATATGGGAATGACTTTTCAGAAAAGATTCCTCACTTAAGAAGCTTCAAAGATATCGAGTAAACAAGACAGCCAAAGTCAGAACCAGACCTCAAGGATCAGGAAAATCAATCTTAAGAGTTTATTAAGGCCGGGCGCGGTGGCTCACGCCTGTCATCCCAGCACTCTGGGAGGCCGAGGCGGGAGGATTGCTCAAGGTCAGGAGTTCGAAACCAGCCTGAGCAAGAGCGAGATCCCATCTCTACTATAAACAGAAAGAAATTAATTGGACAACTAATATATATAGAAAAAATTAGCCGGGCATGGTGGTGCATGCCTGTAGTCCCAGCTGCTCAGGAGTCTGAGGCAGGAGGATTGCTTGAGCCCAGGAGTTTGAGGTTGCTGTGAGCTAGGCTGATGCCACGGCACTCACTCTAGCCTGGGCAACAAAGCGAGACTCTGCCTCAAAAAAAAAAAAAAAAAAAGAGTTTATTAAGAAAACTATTTCTCATTAATTCTCATATTTCTCAAAACTATAAAAATCTGTCTAATTAATTATTCGTTTCCATCCCAAATCACAATCTTTCTGCATGGTCCACAAAAGAACCAAACACTTTTCTCATTAAAGCAAGTGCCTTGGATTTGATATACATTCTCTTCAATATTGACAGTGCTGACCGTCAGAAAATTAAACCTCTCCCGAATGGAAAAGCCAGGACTTCAGCCTGAAACATAAACCCTGCAGCTGAAATATGGCCTGCTTCCTTTTGTGCAAGCACTCAGATCCCAGTTGCTTGTCATACTTTAGCCTTCAAAAGCCAGGCCAAAGTGCAGTAATGCTATCCTGATGGAAACACAGGGAAGATGGATGGTCCCATGTTCAATGTTTTCTAATCTGCTCTTGATCAGAATGTCTGAGGGTCTGGATTGTAACCATATACAGACATTAAAAAATAACAATCACCTTACCCTCAATATGTCGAAATGTTATCGGGAAGCCCTGCATCTGAGATCTGATGTCCAACCCACAGAGCTTTCTCCTTGTCCACCGCCCTATCTGTTTCAGTAAAATGAAACCCTTGCACTTATTGACATTTCCTTCCAGAACACATTTCCTTCAAGCTCACGGAATGTTCTGCTCGTACCAGCAGAGGGAGGCCTGATCCGCTTCCTGAGCTTTGGGACTGCTCGATGAGGTCCCGCAGGGATTCTCCGGGAGGAATGTAAGTTTCATCCTGTTCTAACCCGATGCTGTACCGGGGTCTGGTTTCTTGTCTCTTATACCTAAAGAAGGACACATGAAGATAATTTAAGAAATGCAATGATAGGAGCAAAACATTGCAGCTGAAACAGTAATCACAACAGGATTTATTTTAGCACAAGATTAAGTGCTTCATATTTGCTGCCCTTGGTTATGGTTTCCAAAATATGAATCGTTATTATTTTGCTAACCTCTTTTTTAAAAAAATAAACTACATGTTTAGTCTCGACCACCCACAATTTTTCTTCTCTATTGCTTTCGATCACATATATCCAAGCAGGCTACATTCTGGGAGTGTTTCCAAACAGCTCCAATATTCATTCCCTAAAATCTTTTTATGATATCCCAAACTAATGAAAGCTGCAAATTTTTGATTTATAAACACATTATAGCTAACTCTCTTACATAAAGTAAAGCAGATAAATAAAATTAGGCTTTACAAGCTTTGTTAATAACTACTATGTCTTCAAATAGAAATGAATTTATTTCAATCAACTAATCTATTAATCTACAAAGTATCACAAATGAGTATGCAATTGTTCAAAAGGCAAATGATATAAATATAAAGGTTCTTGATAGTTCTCAAACTAGAAAAGAAGTTTTTAGGTGGCAAAATAATTTGCAACTACCGTACTTAACTTAAATAACTGAACTTGCTTCAATAATTAATCTATAAATTATAATTAAACTATTTTAATACTAAGAGGAATTTTTTTAGCTCAGGAAATAAGGAATTACTTGAGCCACTCTTAGTTCAACATGACATTTCCTGTACTTAGAATCCAACCTAAGAAGCAACAAGTCTCTGAATTCCCTAACTACCTTAGTTTCCCTAGAGAGGAAATATTTATCTGGGTAGTTATGAGGTCTGAAGCAGAAATGAGATAGGTATCTATTTATAACTTCATTAGGACAAATATTTATCAGCAGTAACAGATATTTTCAGTTAAATATAAGATCTAACTATGTCAAAGAAAGCTGTGATAAAAAGCATCAACAGGAAAAAAATGGCAGAATATTAATGTAAGGAAGACACTATCAACTCAAAATTCTACATCTAGATGCTAGAAACTTACCTGAAGTAACAGAATAAAATGATGAGGACCAAGAGCAAACTACAGACAGTCACAGATATAAGTAAAGCCTTGTGGTGTATAGGTCCATCAACAAAATCTGAAATGAAAAAAAAAGAGAGCCATAATAGGAAAGATATTCTCACTTAAAAATTAGGAAGCTACTCTGAAGTACTTGCTAAGCATCTGTGCAAGATGTGAAAGACCCTTTCAACATGCCAAGTGATCATAAAAAAAAAAATACATACATACTCAGAATTAAATAACTTTGACTAGAATGACTCATCACTCATCTAGGTACTTATTTCAAAAGCATACATTTCTTCCTTTCTGAAAAGGTATGGACTTGTCATAGGATAAAAGAACATGAACACAGGTAATTGGATGTGTGCACCTAAAATATAAGCAGGTAGTTAATCTTTATTCCGGATCTATCTGATGGGTTCACAGGCTCTTTTCACGTGGTCATGAATTTGAATAAAAAGTGAATCTATAAATCATTATACATAAAACACAAAACCATCTTATGATGAGTATAAAAGAAAAGGACTACTCAAATGTTGTCAAATATAGACTATATATTATGTGCATCACTTTAAACAAAGATGTCCTTCAAAATGCATAGCTTAATTTTTTTTATAATGGCATCATATTTTAAAAGAATATATATGTTGTAGCCAGATAATTTGGTTTTTATAGAACAAATAAACATTATTTTGCTTTAACTCTAGTTCTTGAGAAACCAGATTTACTTAGAGCATGATTTCCCAAACATTATATAAAGAAGAATGACTTAGCTTTATACAAATGCATTTTACTGACTTTAACCCCAGAGATTTTTATTCAAAGTATTTTATTTTTTAATAATCATCCCAGGTGATTAAATGCAGGTGGTCGCTGGGACATATTTTGAGAAAAACTGACTTAAAACCAGGTGCACTTATATAGTAATAGAATTAGCACTGTTCTTATCAATGGTACCATGTACCTTTAAGAGAGTGATTATTGTTATTTAATTTTAAAAGTAGTATTGTAATTTCTGACTTCGGTTACTATGGACAAGAAGCTTTCCAACTATGCTGTATAGCTCTAACTATATGGCCACCTAAATATTTCAGCTGGAGACCTTATCCCATTCAATGTAACTTTTTTCATTCAAAAGTATGATATGTTCCAAGAAGAAAAATAGCAAAGAACTAACTAAAATAATATAAATAAAATCACTACCTCCTCACTACTCGGGAAAAATTACTGCTAACAGTTTAGCATATGCCATTGCAGTATAATTTCAATGAACAAAAAAAGTTCATGAGCAAAATATTTCACAAAAAGGCATTATTATATTGCCTTACAACTAGATTACTTTCCTTTATAATATAAATGCGAACATTTTCCACAAAAAAAATGTGTAACATGATTTTTTGGTTGATATTTAACTTTTTAAAAAATTACTTATCTTTTTAATTGACACATAATAATTTTACATATTTATGGGGTACATACTGATGTTTTGATATATATAATGTATACTGATCAGATCAGAGTATTAAATAATTAGTATATCCATCATCTCAAACATTTATCATTTCTTTGTGTTGGGAACACTCAATATCTTCTTTTTAGCTATTTGAAATTATATATTATGGCAACATGATTTTTAAAAACTAGATTGTATTATATGTAGAGACATCCTAATTAGAAAGCCATTCATCTGTTGTCATAGATTTAGGAGATTTCAACGATTCTGCTATAAGACTTCTTTGCTTTTAATACATAAAATTCTGTAATGATCACTCTTACACATACATCTTTGCACATGGCAATGATTTATTTCTTTAATAAAGATTTCTAGAAGTACAATTATTAGTTCAAAGGACACATATTTTAAGTGTTTTCATATATACCATCAAATATCCTTTAAAAAGATTACAACAGTTCCTATTTTACCATCGATGTAAATATATATTTTAATTATGTTGAAATAATTTCAGCCTTAGAGAAAAACTATGAGGAAAAAGAACTCTAAGTGTGTCCTTCACCTAGATTTCTCATTGTTAACATTTTATATTTGTTTTATAATTATCTTGCTTTCTCAGTGCTTCTTTCTCTCATTCTCTCTAATATGTATATATGTATACATTTGCATTTATATTTTTTGTTTATTATTTGTATGTCTGTATTATTTTTGGATCATTTAAACTTGCAGACATAATGCTCCTATCCATTTATAAATGCTTTGGAGTACACTCCTAAGAACAATGACATTGTCTTACCAAATAGTAATACAATTTCCAAAATCAGGATATTGACATGAACACATAAAATAAAAATAAATCTTACTTTAAAATATTTCAGAGAATGTTTAGATTATATATTAATATGTAATATATAGTATACTTAACATTATAAACTATAATTCACAAGTACAAATTTCTTGTCCAAATATGATGATGGTCAATGTTATGATTTACTCATCGGTCTAAAATATATATGTTTAACAGCTATTTATGATCCATACGTACTACTTGCGAAATCCTAATGAGAGCAGTCTGTATTTGAGAAGACTAAATGAAAGACCACTAAAGACAAGCAGTTTTATATTAATAAACTCAGAAATGTTGCCAGTGGTCCAGGAAAAAGGAGTTCAGGAAAACTTGAACTACTATAGTCTGTGTCCAAAAAAGCCATTGAAGTCTATAGCCATACCACCTTGAATGCGCCCAATCTTGTCTGATGTCAAAAAAGCCATTCTGGCTTTAACACAAACAAATCAGATCTAATTAGCTCATTCGTTGTCTGAAACATGTTGCTTAGGAAATCTTGGACATAATTTATAAGCTCTTAAAATTAAGCAGGCTAAAATTTTACACGATTAATTGTCTTAGTAAATTTCTTTCTCCATTGCACCAGGCAGTGTTGACAATAGATCCAAGATGTCACAATTCCTTCGCCAGTGAAAGCACATTCGCAATGTTGTCACGTGTATCCAGGCATACAACTACGATAGCACATACATACGTAAAGATTCTGCTGGAAAAAACTTCGCTTAAAATGTATTTCCAATGTTATCGATACCAAGAGCCTGATTTTGCAGACATCCAAAGAGAACTCTAGATACTCAACTAAGACTAACCATATAATCACAGCATACTACAGGTATGTGAACACAGAATACTTTTCCATTCCAGTGATGTAATTTTACTAAAGCTCTCAGCTTCACTGTCCATGTAAAATGCAAGCCACATTAGACACCCTGAGCTGCAAGAACACTAGTTATTAGTTATTATATTTCTGATGCATGAGAGCATTTAGGCCCGAGGATTAGGGATCTCTTTCCTTGCTAAGCATATACTTACGGGGCTTGGTTTACCTTCCTTTTGCTTCTGTTCCCATACCCTGCGCCTAGCTATGCCTGCTTGTACTTCTCATTATAGGCGATGCTTTCAAATAACTTTTGTTTCTTGCTGGTCATTGCTGTCATGTTTTATCTATTACCTGTGCTCAGGATGACAGCTGAAACTCAAGGTCCTTGCAGAGTTCTCAGTTTCAAGGTGAACACTTCAGGATTTCTTGGGGAAGTGCGGGCCCGCGTCTCTTCTCACCAAGGGCCTTGCTCCTGGGCTTGTCGCTCAACTGCTCGGGAAATGAGCAAGGAATCCCTGGGCATCGGTCCCCCTGAGAGGAGAGAGATGCGCAGTGGTATCACAGAACTGCATCCTGCCACTCCTGTCTTTCTAATATTAAGGCTTTGCGCTGCTTAAAAATGCCAGGACTGTTCTTACAAGGCTAGAAGATGTTCACATGTACAATAGAATTGGAGAAAAAAAATCATGACTTAAAGGATCTTGGAATAACCACGGACTCTTGCAACATAGCAGTACAGCTTTCAAAAGGACTCTACAAACAGCACTGCCTCATGTTTACAGCAGCACACTTCCATTGCAAAGTGTGGAAACAACCACGTGCCCTCAATTCATGAGTGCTTAAAAATGTGGTCATGTATCCATGAGTACTATTTCAGCTCTAAGAAACAATGGTGACCTAGCACCTCTTGTATTTTCCTGGCTACCCATTCCTGGAACCCATTCTACTAAGTGAAGTATCCCAAGAATGGAAAAGTAGCACCCATGCGCTCACCGCCAATTGTATTAACTGATCTACAACCTAAGTGGACATACAGAATAAACTACTTTTTTTATCGCGTGTCCGGGCAGGTTGGGAGGGAGTGAGGGATGGGTAATCAACACACAATGGTCATGTGCAATGTTTGAGAATGGACCACGCTTGAGCTCTGGACCGAGGGGGGAGTCGGAGCATGTGACATATATTAACCTTAACTTTGTACCCCATATATGCTGAAATAAATAAATTAAATAAAAAAGATAGTCACATTCCACAAAAATACCATACACATGGATGATGAGGAAGGGGGCAAAAAAAAAAAAAAAGGGCAGCAGCTCTGGGGTCTAAAGGTGGTGCTCTCAGACCACAGTCTGCAGTGACGTTTCCTGAACCCCAAATTGGCCCAAAGGGTAAAGTGGATTCTGCAAAGATCTTATCTAGGCTCGGCCTGGGATCCTCGGGGCACAAAAGCACAAAGCTTTTACATTCTGTCCTCTAGAGACTTGGTCCACTATTTTTATTTATTTTTTATTTTTTTATTTTAGTGTATTATGGGGGCACAAGTGTTAAGATTACATATATTGCCCATGGCCCCCTCCCCCCTCGAGTCAGAGCTTCAAGCATGTCCATCCCCCAAACGCTGCACATCTAACTCGTTGTGGTTATATATACCCATCCCCTCCTCCCCCCTCCCGACACCTGATAAATGTTACTCCTATATGTCCACTTAGGTGGTGATCCATTGATACCAATTAGCTGGTGAGTCCATGTGGTGCTTGTTTTTCCATTCTTGAGATACTTCACTTAGTAGAATGGGCTCCCATAATCTCACCCTCCTCATCCAGCCATCCTAGTCCTAACTAGAACTGGATCCACCTCTCTTAGGTATGAGATTTGTTCTCCAACTAGACATGCTGTTGCATACTCCTATATTTTACAAAGGCCTCTCAAATATTACAAAGCAGACCTCGGTACTTAACTCATGCCTCTGTTTAGAGTCGCTGCTACTCAGAGACTGTGCAAACTTAGGAAAGTTAATAAGCCTTTCTGTCCTGCATTTTCCTCCTATTTAAATCGGAACTAACAATCCTAAGTAACTCTTAGGGTTCTTGGGAGGCTAAAATCGATTCATTTACATAATAATTAGCATCGTGCTAGGCTAACATTAGGCATTTTAATTTTTAAATTTTTATCCACTTGGCCTATTCTGCCTTATCCACTTAGCAAACTCCTGTTTGTCCTTAAAAAGTCTTGTTCAGGTTATCACTTCTACAAAGCTACGGTGACATCCTCCCATCCAAGACATAGCCAGCCATTCACTCTTTTGTGTCCTTAATGTACTTTATAATTTAACTCTACTGAGATATTCCTGACCAAATTTAATTTTAGTTATTTCCATGCTTCTCTCTTAGATCCTAGTCTACACTTTGGGGAAGAAGAATTTTCTTCACCCATTTCTATATTCCTACCACCTAACATGCTGCCTGGCAAAAAAATAAATAAAAAATAAACGCTCCTGTAAGGTTTTGATGTGAGTTAGTATGAACCAATCTTTTCTAGCTTTCTAGACTAATATAGGAAAAAATGTTATAATAAAATGTTATCAAAGTCATGAAATTCCATGATGTTTTGTTGGAAAGAATTTCTCTTCTCAAGAAATAAAATCAATCATTAGGGATCATTCTAACTCACTTAAATAAGACTTAGGATTTAAAACCCTACAGCAATTACAAATCATTCATTTTTGCGGTGAGAACAAGGAGGAGAAAGGAAACACAGGGGATGTTCCTAATGAAAAGTCTCTTGGGATGTAGTATTTTTCTTTTTAAATGAGCAACTGTTACATGTACAAGTTTTGAAATTAAAACGTTTAGACATCTTTCCCATTTTATCAATATATGGATGTATGATTTGACTAAAAGCTAGTTACTCTAGCATAAATAAAAGGAAATGCCATATAGCAAATAATCTTTGATTTAGTCCTTTCTAAGGTCGTTATTCTCAAAATAAATGCAGCCAAATGATCGTTTTTAAGTGAAAATGCAACTTCCGAATAACTGTCAGGGGTAAACATAAAGCTCTATCTTCCCACTCTACACATACTCTAGGCATTGTAGCTTTCTGAAAGGAAATGGAAAGAAGTAACAAAAATCCCAAGAGTGAAGCCACGTATAACAATCTTCCCAAGAACCACTTGCACGTGTCTTTAAATGACAGCTCATTATGTCATCTGGCCTCAATCCTCTGCTCCTGCCTTCAAAAATGGTACAGGTAGATACATTTAGAAAAGAGCTAATAATTGTATTTTTTTTTTTTGAGACAGAGTCTCACTCTGTTGCCCAGGCTAGAGTGCCGTGGCATCAGCCTAGCTCACAGCAACCTCACACTCCTGGGCTCAAGCGATCCTCCTGCCTCAGCCTCCCAAGTAGCTGGGACTACAGGCATGCTCTACCATGCCCAGCTAATTTTTTCTATATATATTAGTTGTCCAATTAATTTCTTTCTATTTTTAGTAGAGATGGGGTCACACTTTTGCTCAGGCTGGTTTCGAACTCCTGACCTTGAGCGATCCTCCTGCCTCGGCCTCCCAGAGTGCTAGGATTACAAGCGTGAGCCACCGCGCCCGGCCTCTACAATTGTAGCTATTATTTTCATTATGCCTGAATCTTTTCCAGCCCAGAGTCTTGCTCACCTTACCTCTGTTTTTCAGTGGAGGCAGTGTGGGGTGCAGGTCTTTGTTGCATTCATTCCTTTCTGTGCAGCATTCAATTGATCTTCTTTGATGGGGAATGGGAGTGTCCTATAATTGAAACCAAATATCTGTTATTAGTGGGTTTCCTCTAAATTTCAAAGTCACATCATCTAAAACTTAACCCTTTGCACTTGCTTGCTTTTTTCTCGATTCCTTTATTCTACTCAGGATTTAATTTTTTAAATGCCCCAGATTTTACAAAGTGCGGCAGTAGAATAAAAAACTGGAGTTTCTTTTCATACAGACTTATTTACTTGGATTTTTTTATATTTCAAATTATTGATGCATTCAAAGAGTAATTTTAATCTCTCTAATTTTTCATGGTGTGATATTTTTGGAAACATTCACCCACATGAAGACCTGGTTTACATTCACATGTTTCGCAAATATAAATCGTCTCTCTTCTTCCTCCTCTGATTTTTCTGTTAGGACAAACAACACAATCTTTGTGTTTTTTGTTAGGGTGAGGTGTGATTGCATGGAGCTTTCCATCTAAACGTTGCTCTAAGTTAGTGGATAATAATCTACCCCTGGAAGGTAGTGTACCGTCTCTGAATTCTCCAACAAGATCATGTACTAGTTTCCTAATAAATTTCACATGCATTATCGGTTTTTCATTTCTTCTTTCTTGGCATTCTTTGTACAATATATAGGAATGTACAACACTGACCTCAAACCCCTAGAAAACCAATGTACGCCACCATTTTAGAGTCAAAAAGCTCAAAAAGGCATGATGCAACGACTCATGCCCTGGACCCTGCTACTCAAGATTGCTGCTTTTGCAAAAGATAATCTTAGGTGGTGGCACCAGTTGAGACAGCATTTACAGTTTACTTGTCCTTTCGTGCTAATGAAAACAAGAAAAGATACTGGAAAAATAGAGAAAAATCCCCCTTGCCCCCATGGTGAAGCTCCGTGTCGAGTGTGGCTCAACACACAAGCTGCTACCGATGCCAGCCGTGTCGAGTCACACTCGACACCCGAGTGCAAAGGGTTAAGTCATTATCACTGTCGAGAGAACTTATTTAAAATTCTAGTTATTTTACTCAAACATCTTGAAATTGTTATTTTCTGTCAGGTCTTTCGAATCTATCTCTATAATGTCTTTCAAATCACCATGTATTATCTTACTGCAATTTTTTTTGCGTTTCAATTTTTGCATTTCAAATCTACTACTACATGTATAATAACCAACGTACGCTGTGTCAACTGAGGAAGGTAGCCTGTCTTAATGCAATGAGCTAAACTGGATTTTGAGGAAGATGAACTAATGAGACAGTAAGCAATAAGTTAACAGCAAAAAATGAAAAGGATATTTGATTTCAAAATGAAGGGAGAATTGTCCCAAAGGCAATTTCCAATTATTTCCCCAATTATAGTCATGCATGCTTAGAGTCTGGGAAATGGTCTGAGAAATGCGTTGTTGGGTGATTTTGTCACTGTGTGATCACTGGGTACACTAACACAAACCTCGATGATATAGCCTACAACACACAATGGCTACATGGTATAGTCTACTGCAGCCAGACTACAAACCTAGATAGCATGTTACTCTACTAAATATGGGACTCAACTATAACCCAACGGTAAGTACCTGTGTATCCAAACATATCTAAACATAGAAAAGGGACAGTAAAATCATGGTGTTACAATCTTATGGGACCCCCATCTGCTGTCACCCTATGTGTGGTCCTTCAGAAACCTACATGGCATCGTGTTTTCCATGACTGTACTAAAAACCAGAATGGCCAAGAAAAACAATTGTTTTAACTTGCTTGAAATTTGATGGAAACCCAGCCGATGGAGGGCTGCAAAGCAGGAGCAGGTGATCGTCCTTACCCGACACTGAAAATCTGAGCCTTCTAGTCCCAGGCATCCGGAAGTGACCACGGGCATCCCGGACTCATCTTCTTCTACCATCGTGAAACAGTATCCGTCAGTGCTGAAGACCAAACAGGCAAGTGAGAGGGAGAGCATGTGTGTGCCATGCGTGCGTATGCATGTGGGTGTGTGTACATGTGTGTGTCTCTCTCTCTTTCTGGGGAAAAGGAAATGAACGATGAGTACCATTTGTTTCATTGCAAATAAGGCAAAAGTCAACGATCATTATAGGGCACGATCTGTTAAGAGATTCTTAAAATTTTCTTTTATGAGAATGGATTTAATTATCATAAAAACATCTCGTAATATCTCCTTTGTCCATAAACTCATAAGAAAGAAGGGTTCAAAATTCTCATATAATGTATATCATTAATTACCATTAATAACCATGTATACCAATTACTGAATACATTGGGCCTTCAAGGATATCATTTTTCTGGACAAATCCAGAAAGACACCTCTGTGAGCAGCTTCCATATGAGGAAACGGAGGCTCAGAAAGGTTGAGTAATATCCCAGGCATCACACAGTGAGTGACAGGGACAGCAAGGTTTCGAACACACACAGATGAATGTTCATGTTGGTTCCACTTGGTCTGAGATAGTGAAATATTACTTATTGCCCACTAAGGCATGCAAACTAAAGACAGGCAGGAGTTGGGATCAGCATAGCAGAGCTGAGGCAATAAAGATTCTTCTTTGTGGCACCTCTGGTTCTGGGCTGGGTGTCATGTGACAAAATGAAGCTCCGTCATAAGCAGTCCAGGCTCGAGTTGGGGGTGGGATGAGGATGGACCACAGAAAGAAAGAGTTCGTCAAGATAGTGGAAAGGAAAGAAACAAAATTTTAAATGTCTGTATGATTTTCTAGATCAGAGATAACTGCCACTTATTCTGTGTCTTTTAATCCTCACGACAACAATGAGAGGGAAGTGATATTATTTCTATCGTACAGATAAGGAAATTAAGGTTGTGAGAGAGTGTGCTACATAAGGTAAAAAAACCAGTTAAAAAGAATCAGGCCTTAAATCGAGGGCCTCTCACTTCATTCCCACTTGTTTTCTGCTATCCCCTCCTGGGACTAAAATGAAAAACAAGAACCGTGATATATGTTAACTATTTGTAAACAGACATGACTGTCTTCCCAAGTTTGGGTGGTGAATGCCAGTAGACTCCCTGCAAGTCATAAACCACCACCCACCACTGTGTGTCTTAGAAAATAAAAGCACTAAACTCCACCTCGAGCCTGTTCTCACACATATACGTGCCCAGGGTCCAAGACAGATATGACAATGCAGTCCCTCAAAGGGAATGGCAAAGAAGCTCTGAGAATGGCCTTGGCCGTGATTTGTGGCTTTGTCTACTCTGTCTTAGTGGCAGCAGCCTTCTACCATACACTAGCCCTTCACGCTTCATCGACAGCTTTAGAATCGTTTACTTGGTTTATAAGCCTCAAGTGGCCCAAAATACCTCATTTCATATAGACTAGCACAATGGAGTTCCAATAGAGTAATGAATAGCTAGGAAGAGCCAGTGATAAATCCGTTAGACCAAGGTCAAATGCATTAATATTGTCGTGGAAGAGAGACTGCCTCTGAAAAGTCTTTCTGTTCTTTGAATTCTTTGGGGCTCTTTAACCAATTTACTGAAATTGTTACAAAAATGTAAAGCATGAGAACACTGAAGGAAATAAATAAAATGACTGTTTTTTATTTGTTTAGAGACAGCATCACTCTGTAGCCCAGGCTGGAGTGCAGTGGCAGGATCATAGCTCACTTTAACCTCGAACTCTTGGCCTCAATCAATCCCCCTGCCTCAGCCTCCCAAGTAGCTGGCTCTAGAGGTGTATGCCACCATGCCCGGCTAATCTATTTTTTTGTAGAGATATTTTTTTGTCTCGCTATGTTACCTAAGCTGGTCTTAAACTCCTGGCCTCAAGCTATCCTCCTGCCTTGGCCTCCCAAAGTGCTGGGATTATAGGTATGAGCAATGGCACTCAGCCAAAATAGTTGTTCCATAAAAATTTACTTTAAAAAACATGAGCAAATAATATTAGTGACTTTTTTTACTCTTTTCCTACATATTTAGACTATGTGCATAACTGACATTTCTCTTCATAAGCAAAATTAAAGAATTATCAGAAATAAGTCATCCTAAACATCAGGGAGAATAAATTCAAGTTTCGGAAATATATTCTCTTACGTGGAGAGAGGGAGGAACCAAAAATACAGAGAGGGGCTGGGGAGGGAGAGAGACCCTGGAGAAAACAATCAATGTCCCACAAGTCATATATTCAAAAAGGAATCCAATAATTTGTTGGAGGACAAGAAAGGAGGTGAGAAAGCATTTTTAGTGAACATTATTTGCAACAAAGCGAAAGTCATTTATAAGTTTCTCATTGACATTGCTACCTAGCAAGGAACATTAACCAGAAACTAGCAGCACAATTACAGAAGTTTTAAGAATTACTTGAGAAATTTCAACTCTCAAGCAAGCACAAGTGTAAACAAAGCTATCATCCAAAACCAAAGCTGATCAACTCTACCCACCTAAGAGATGAATGCTGGCTGTCAGAGAGCACAATCACCTCTCACCCTTGGCTTGTTTGAACATTCTGCTGCCTGTTTGCCAAGCACAAGCTTAGTCTTGTATATACATTATTGCCCCCATTCCCCGAGTGTTGACTGTAGATAAGAAGATATGGAGACTCGTGAAGGAAATACAGTAGAAATAGTTTTAAACAAAATTTAAAGTAGTAAGATACATACAAGAATGCAGGATCAATCATTTGACTGTCTTTTTTTCTTATTTATTTTTTTATTTCATCATATTATGGAGGTACAAATATTGTTAGGGTTACAAATATTGCTCCATTTGACTGTCTTGATGCTTTATGAATGAAAAATAAAGACAGTTGCTGTAACATTTCAAAAATGCTGCCTCTGTATCACAGGCAAAGAAAAGTGACTAATGAAATGAAACAATGGTTGAGTGCATACCAAGTCATCAATGCTGAATGCTTCTTGATGTAATGTTCATTCGCCAAAAAGCAAAGCATCTGAGAATTTAACGGTTGCATGAGGTCAAAGCAGTGATAACACAAGTTTTGTTACAAACTTTGATTATACAGATTCCAGGCTCCTTAAATTTTCCAAATATTCCAAAAGCAAAAACATGTCTGGAAATCTAGACACCAGGGGTACTAATCACCTCAAGAGATTTTCAGCATTCCCAAGTGAATATACACTAGCAAGAAAGGGTATACCTGCTATAATGCTTCAAGGGGCTCAGTGATACTCTTTCTAGGTGGATAAGCATTCAGAGACTGCCAGGTTTAACTCCTTTTATTTGTGGTCAAGTCAATTTGTGAATGCAACTCGTTCATGAGTTGTAGAATGGTTAGAAACCAAATTCATCATATGTGTAAAATTGCACTAACAGTATCTTTTTATTTAACGTGAATATAACGTTTACAAGGTTTGCCCAAACTCTGGTCCTTTTAACTCTATTCTTCCACTAAGATCTTAGATTTCTTTATTGCAAACCTCAACATTATTTATATATCCACCACAACTGAAAAGAGACTATCACCAAATTTTTCCTCTAATTTAGATCTTTATAAAGATTAGTTTAACTATAAAATAATTTTCAGAATATTAAAGAGTTTATCTTCTCTGCTCAATCAGGTGCTAGGAAATTTAAAAGCATGGTATTTATATTATATAAATGAGTTATCTGCTCAATTGCAACTACCTGCAAGGATTAACAGTTTCCTTGAATGATCAATACTTCTTTCAATTTTTTTTGGTATCTGAGAAACACTAAAATTCTAAACTTCTTTTTAATTTCTTTTCAGTTTCAGTCAGAATGGATTTTAAAAGGCCAGTTAATTTTAGGTCATCTGTAAACAAGTTCTTGAGAACATCCTGTATTTATTTCTAAAATACACATTTCACATTCAAGGGAATAAAGTAAGTTTTCAGTTTTCTGTCGCAGGTAAACTCAAAGATAAACACACAACTTTCAGAGTTGCCATTCTAATGACATAGATTTTTGGTCGGTTAACTAAAAAAGCTGAATGCTGCTTATATTAATAGTTTTGTTAACAATGGTTCATTTTACAAACACTTATTGTGCATACAAGACTCAGGCAGAGTCAGATGCTGGAATGCAAGGTGCATTTTGAGGAGCTCATGGTCTACACTAAGGCCATAAATCCTAGAAAAGAGAAAGTCATTCGACTGGAAGCAGCAGGGAGAGAAGTCAGAGATGCCTAAGTGTTTTCCTGCTGACTGGGAAATAAGCAAAGAAGAATGCTGAGCAGTGATAATTATCAAAGTAACAGAATCCTAATGTTTTTAGGTTTTTTTTTTCCCCCTCGTCATCTCAGATGGACAGATTCCCATAGTGATGGAGGGAAATAAACCAATATATATACTACTGTCTCCTTCTCTGGCTTTTCCTCTGAGGGACCATAGTGTCCGGGGAAAGGTGAAGTTACAACATTAATGACAAAGTCCCAACGTGAGAGATGTCCTCTTCGTTTTATCCTCAAGAACCCCTAACTATCATCCATCCTTCTCTGGCAAATGATTCAGCATTTTGTTCATTTTTCCCATGAGGTACAAGATTTCTTGAACTTGTCTCAATTTTTATATTCATCAAGAGTTCCTGTGTATGTTCACCCCGCAACTCTGTGCAGATCTGCACCATCTCTTACCTAGACTGCTCTGAGAACCTTCTAGAGCAGGACTTCCTCTCCATCTGTATTGCCTCTAACCATTCTGTATAACACTGGCTGATAAATCTTCCATTTTCTTTCCCTGCTTAAAAGTCTTCAGTGGTTCTCTGTGTGTCATTTTGAAGAACCTATGTACAGTATTCACTTTCTATTAATTCCAACAACAAATAGGACCTGTTTAACATCCTCATTCATGATTAATGAGAAGCACAAAGGGAGACTTATTCCTTATTTAAAAATCCATAAGTGAATTTGAAATCACAGCCTCTTACAACTAAATGAGAAGTTCTAATGAGGACCCACTGTTCTCTAAGTGCAATGGTTTGAAATGAACATCTTCAACTGGAAAAAAAAAATAATCATAAAGCTCAATATTTAAATGACCAAGGGCAACAGTGGATAGAAACTAGATGGCTTATAATGAAGCTCAGCCTGCAAGGGAAGAAGAAACCAGAACAACACACACTTTGAATACTGAGACCTCGAGCACCTGTCCAAAAACTCATACCACCTCACTCAGCAAGGTGGTTATATAAAAAGCCTGGGTTAGTACTAACTTTATAAAAAAAAGCTAACAGGCCCTACACTTTTCCTTTTGCCCCCAGTGGCTCTTCAAGATATATAGCTGGAGACTTATCTAATTCCCATTTAAGCAGCTTGGTGTCATTCGCATGCACGTTCTTTGTGCAAACATACAATTTGATGTCTTACACCTTAAACCCTCGAACTGCCCAAGCAGGAGAATTCTTGGTGAGAACCCAACAAGATAAATGAGGGAGTACTAAAAGTCATCTCTGAAAAAAGCAACAAATAATTTTTAGAAATAGATAACACACGAACAAGTCGAGGGACGTGAGACAGAGACCAAGGGCTGCCACAGACTAGTCAAGTAAGACGAGGAAGAGTATTTAAGCCAGACTAGATTCTATAAAGAAAATGACACATAAACAGGGACAAGAGAACACTTGCCAGGGCAGGAAAATGAGGACATTGGCATCGCGAAAGCCACAGAAAAAGAGTCACTTAGGGAGACTACAGCCTTCCAGGTCTGCAGCTCTACAAATGGAACCTGCAGCTCTTTTTTTTTTTTTTTTTTTTTTTTTTTTTTGAAGTCTCTAAGTTGTTTTGCAATAGCTTTATTTGAAGGCTTTGGCAAAACACACTGCCTTTCACAGAGTATTTGGAGAAGGGAGAGGTGGAAGGGAGGATGGAAGAAAGCTCAGCTCACTTGACTGCTCCATCAGCAAAGGCTCAGCAGGACCTTTTGCTGTTCCTTTATTTAAATGACACATTTAAAGCTGAACGCACTGTCATAGGAAAAGCGTTTGCCTTTGCACCTCCCACACAGATCTTGGCCATGGGGCTGCTTGGGGTCCACATGTCGAAGTCTGAGTGGGCAGGAACATCTAGGTTTTTTTTGTTTGTTTGTTTGTTTTTTTTACAGCTTTGACAGGTGACATTCCCCACTCGGTAAGGGTTGTAAGACTTCGGACAAGTTCCGCAGAACTGTTGGAAGTAAACCTTGTTCGTGCCCTGCATGCACCACACATGAGCACTCTCCCATCGGATGTTGCAATTCTACCTCCTCATCCAGAAACCCATAAAGCCCCTCACGTGCCCCTTCCCATATCCAAGCCACCGCCACGCAACTTGACCTTCTAGATGTTTCTCAAATGCATTTCTCTCTCTCCTGCAACGACACCAACCTAGCTAGACCATTTTCTCACACATGAACTGTTCTTAATGACCCCACCATTTGATTGCTCTCACCTAACTCTTCTTGAATCCCCTGTTGTCTTCTTCTAATACGTTAAATCCTCCGCAGCAAAGAAACTTTTGCAAGGAAACAAATCAGATCATGACAATCCCCAGCTTCCCTACCGCAATGACCCTCGACTGAACGCTTCCTCCCTCCCAAACCGACTTAGGACACATCAGTGACTTCAATATGGAAAATGGGACAACATATTTGAAACTGGAATATTTAGGGAAAATCCTGAACAGACGATCACCAGGACAATGGCTCAAACAACACACACAGATGTATTCTGAATGCCACAGACTGAGACAAAATAGTAAAAATACACGCCCACCCCCCTCATTTGCTTTCTCCTGCTAATCTTCCTTTTTTCAGAAAACTTTAGCTTTCCCAATACCTTTTCTCTTTACTGTAAAGAGAGCATGTGTCCCAGGAAAAAGTCTCTGAGCTTTGGAATCATTTTCTCTTGGCACAAGACTCTGTGATTCCCAACTTCGATCTGTTGTACAAAAGTCAAGTTACCAGACCTTTCTGGATCCCAAATTGCATGCTGTCTGGATGAGAGCAAGCATTCCCTACAATGCTGCGTTGTTTTGCTTATTAAATGAGATACATATTTATGAACACACCCAGCTTTACTCTCTGGGTCATTCGGTCAAAAGGTATTTCTTGTGCTAAGTAGACTAGGCTCTTAGGATACATCCACTGGTAAGCTTATTATAGATTTTTGCTTCATTGGAAAGTTAAAATTTAAAAAAAAAAAAAAAAGCTCTCGGGAAGAAAGAAAACCATTCGACTCAGTTTTGTGCAACCGCTGGCTAATGCAACCCCACCTGATTGCCCAGATATCTTTCCTGATTCTAAACTCATCTCCCTGTTTGAGTTCATGACCTCTCTTGAGGCATGCTCTGCTGGCATTGGAACTCCAGAGAGCCACGTTTGCTAGTTAACTACCCACTTCTGCCTGAACACACCCTGGCAGAAGGCTATAAGCTATAGCTCTTCATCCCTAGTCATCCTCACCCTATGGAGTGACAGTGACCAACAGCGACAGTGGTCAGCAAAATGGATGTGGTCACATAAAGACGTGTAAGCAAGAAAAAGGCAGAACAGTCCAGATTCCAATGTTATAAAGCATCTACGAAAACATGATTACCGGCAGGGCGTGGTGGCTCACGCCTGTCATCCTAGCACTCTGGGAGGCCGAGGCGGGCGGATTGCTCAAGGTCAGGAATTCGAAACCAGCCTGAGCAAGAGTGAGACCCTGTCTCTACTATAAATAGAAAGAAATCAATTGGCCAACTAATATATATAGAAAAAAATAATTAGCCGGGCATGGTGGCGCATGCCTGTAGTCCCAGCTACTTGGGAGGCTGAGGCAGGAGGATCGCTTGAGCCCAGGAGTTGGAGGTTGCTGTGAGCTAGGCTGACGCCATGGCATTTACTCTAGCCTGGGCAACAGAGTGAGACTCTGTCTCAAACAATCAATCAATCAAACATGATTACCTACTAAGGAGTTTATTTTCTAGTACTGTGACAATGCCTGTCCTAGTATCTGGGGATCACACATAAACTCTGTCACCCTATTACTCCCCCAGAGTCAGTTTATGAATATTCCCAACGGCATAGGTGTTCTCTCCATAATACTAACACCATCAGCATGACGAATGGTTAAAACAAAAAAGGTCCAACATGCACATTTGATAAACTCATTGTGGGGACTAGGTCTTTGGAAATACAGTAGTTGAGTTTTTCTCCTGGACAAGGAGCCAGGAGCTGAGCTCTGTGTGCACGTGCGTGTACCCTGTTTGGAAGACGGAAGAAAAATCTCAGAAGACTATTTGGGGATAAGACACAATTCCGTATTTCTTTCAAGACAGGCACAGCCCTAAGAGCTAATGGCGTCATGCAATCTTCTCCACAATGTGTTCTTTGGAACATAAGCCTACAACGGTGGATAAGGTGTGATATTTTGTTAAAGCGAGATAGAAGTCATCTACACCACCAACCTGCAAATGTTGTTGACCGAATCTTCTGGACAATGGTGGTGGCACTTACAACGTAAGATCTTCGGGCGAGGGGTGGGGGCTGTGCTCTCACCATCCTCTTTCTTGGTGCCCACGTTTATTTTTCCAGAACTTCGCAAAAGCATGTTATCAAGAAAGTGTGCTGAAAAGAAGAAAGGGTGAGAGTTAAGCATCTGCGATATAGCCAACCCCAGTCTTCTGTCCCAAGGACCACAGGAGATTAAATAAAAAAATGAAGTATCCGTGATACTTAAAGATTTAAACAGAAAACAGATATTTTGATGTTTTTGATAAAAATTACACCTTCTCATAGTATATGCCTCATAGTATAGCTATGCCTCATAGCTCATAGGATATGCCTCAAATAAAGAAATTCCCATAAGCCGTTAAGGATGCTATTTGATATTTGTAAATTATAATAGCTGTATTTAACTAAGTGGAAGGAATTTGATGAAACACTATTACATAGATTATTTCTACTCTGTGTAGTGGTACTAGGGGTAAATATTGGTATTGCCATTTTTCAGATAAGAAAATTGAGACTCAAAGTTTAAGTGATCTGCACAGTCAATAAATCATGGAGCCAGCATTTAAACCCAGACTGTTCAAGCCCTAAGATTGTCTTTCTACCATATCACGGGGCTCCTTAACTTTAGATATATCATATATTTTTTTAAAGAAATTATTAGAAACATTTAATCGAAAAAATTGGGAAGACAAAAACTTAGTTAACACCAAGATTTATTCCAAAAGATACATCTTCCCCAACGGGTTTTACATGCAAAAATGCCTACCTATAATTATAATGCTATTCCTACCATCTTTGATGGAAGACAATATACTACATATAATCTCTTAAAAACAGACTGTCTAGGTTCAAAATTAGGCTTCTCTATTTACCAGTTACTTGTCCAACTTCATAAATAGTCTTGCTGTGCCTCATTTTCTTATCCTTAAAATGGAGATAATTATAAGCACCTATACCTCAAAAGCTTAGAGAAGGGGTCCTCAAACTTTTTAAACAGGGGGCCAGTTCACTGTCCCTCAGACCATTGGAGGGCCAGACTATAGTTAAAAAAAACTATGAACAAATTCCTATGCACACTGCACATATTTTATTTTTAAGTAAAAAAAACAAACAGGCAAAAACACCCACAAGTGGCCCACGGGCCATAGTTTGAGAACGCCTAGCTTAGAGGGTTCACGTAACATAGAAGGGAGCATGCGTCAGTTGCTAGCTGTTATGCTTCAGGGACTGTAGTAAGAGTTCTTACGTATGTCATGTTACTGCATATAGTGTCACCTTGAGCAGTGGTCAATTTAAAATCTCTCTCATAACACATCCAAGCTTGCCTATAATTAAATCAAATTTCAACTAAAATATGACCTAAGATAAAGACTGTTGGGTTAAAAACTTAAATCTTAGATCACAAGTACAACATATGCAATAGATGTATATCATACACATGTTATTTTTTAAAAACCACAGGTGAATGCCTCTAGGCATTGGTTATAACAGAGAATGACCAGTCTAGAAAAAAAAATCTGTGATAATTTTCCTGATTTTCTGCATATTAAGCTCATATAAGCTCATATTAAGCTCATATAAGCTCTGCATATGATTTTCTGCATATTAAGCTGATTAGTAAAATTATTATGAAATAATAGTTGAAGGAAAAAGCAATAAAGTATGTTAAATCACTATATCGGAATTTTCCCTGTAGTCATTATTAACTGTAATATTTCACTGGATTTTTCAAATTTATATCAATACAAGATGTGCGTCTAACTTTTTCAAACTGTTCCTTGCAAATGTCTAGAAAAAGACACAGTGATCATAGTGGGCCTCTGCTGCATGTGAGGAGCTTTTTACATGCAAATCATACCCCACCCACAGTGACTCTGATTCCTTAGGTCTCAGGTGAGCCAAGAAAAGCGCATATGCAACAAGATCTCCCATGAATCTGTGACAAAGTGTAGACTCTACTTACAGAAACCCTGGACTCGATTAAGCAAATAATATTTCTTTCATCTAAGTACACAATGAATCCCAATAGGTATTTATTATTTCTATACAACAGTATGCTCATCTTTAAGTTAAATTCCAAAATAAAGTGACGTTAAACATAGTTCACGTCACTACCTTGTCCTGAAAGTTCCTTCTTTCTAAATCTGCTTTTCATTCTTTCTACCTTTAGGACCTGAATTGCCCCAAGGGACAAAAATGATAAAAATAGGACATTTAAAACTTATTATTTCCTGCTTCCTTCTACACCAGACCCTTTATTTTTATGTTTTAAAACAAAATAATAAAAATATATCTATTAAAATAGATGTCTACTTAGCAAATATGTTATCAGGTGCCTGCCATGTTCCAGGAAACTGGGTAGCTGGGATGGACTGAACATACACTGGATTTATCATCTGGTGGGAAAAGTTGTTAAACGGGAACATTTACAATGAAAGGCCTAAAGTAGAGAAGGAAACATTCTCATGTGTTTGGAAATAAGATGTCATTTTCTAAGAAATATTTTAAAAGAAGATTCATGATTTCCTCAGATTATGAATTTATTTAAAGAGTGGTATAAAATTTAGCTAGAAGAAGTCTCTTTGCAATATTGCTTATAATGACCTATGTTTATATTATAATAACAGAGGATTAGTTGTGTCTTTAAAATGAGATTCTCATGTAGCCGTTTATAGATATATAAATATACATATAATTTTAGAGACGGGGTCTCGCTCTGTCACCCAGGCTGAAGTGCAGTGGTGCAATCACAGTCCCTGCAACCTTGAACTCCTGGGCTCAAGCAATCCAACCACCTCAGCTTCCCCCAATGTGTAGGACCACAGGCATGTGCCACCAAGCCCAGCTAATTTTTAAAATATATGTAGAGATGAAGCCTTGCTCTGTTACCCAGGCTGGTCTCCTACTACTAGGTTGAAACAATCCTCCTACCTTGGCCTCCCCTCCAGTGCTGGGATTGCAGGTGTAATCCCACTGCACCCAGCCCCAAATATAATTTTTTATGAAAGGGGCACATTACAGGGTATTCCATTATGAAATCCCATTACAATAAGAAAAAAGGGGCTTAAAAAAATGGTCCCACAATATAAAAGAGAGCAAGAGAGGAGACACTAGCAAGAGCAATAAGAGCCTGAAAAACAGAAGGACAAGAAGTGACTGATTTAACAAAGCCAAGAAAGCTGATTTCTAAGACAGACATGGGGAGAAGCCAAGAAGCAAAACAATTTCACCACTCAACCCTCAAAAGCTTCCCCAAATGGTATCCCAAGGTGCTTTTAAAAGTGAGGGTGAAGGGCATACTGAAAACAGAAAGGGGCTGAAAATCTATTTTATAACCACAGTAGTTAGAACTTTGGATATCCTTTCCCTGTAAGCTCGCAGTATTTCCTCCCCACCCCTGCAGAAGACCAGAAGGGTAAATCTGACCCACATAACCTTGAGATGCCTTCCTTTATTGTCTTGTTTTACCATCCACCCAGGGACTGTAGGAAGACAAGCATAAGGAGAGCAGGAAGAGAACCAACTTCAAGAGCACATTCGGTGACCATCACACTGGGTGTTGACTCTTCCAGTCCTTTCTCCCCACATTGCTACCAGCCACCCAGCAGAGGTTTTTCCAAGTTCTTGGTGCTCATAAAGAAAAAGAATTTCAGGACGCACCACCTATATAGCCAAATTCTGGCTCTCAAACACTGGGCAAATCAGGTTAAGAACCATCCTTCATATAAAAATCGTGAAGATGAAATAATGAGTCTAATCTTTCTAAAAACCCAACATTTTTAACTATCCAAATTAGCATGATAATAAAATGCAAGCCTTTTTGGAAGCCAATCTAAAACTGGTTCTCATTTTCTAGAGGATCACTAGATTTTCAGGGTGCAAATGAACCACAGAGTCATTTTCATGAGGTATGTTTATGTGTGTGTTAATGAATCACAACTAAATTATATTTTTTATGATTCTCATGTATAAGACAAATTTACGGCCAGGAGTGGTGACTCATGCCAATAATTGTAACATTTTGGGAGGCTGAGGCAGGAAGATCACTTGAGGCCAAGAGTTTGAGACCAGACTGAGCAACATAGCAAGACTCCAACTCCACACACTCACACACACAATTACAAAAAGTATCCAGGCGTGGAGGTGTGCACCTATCCCAGCTATTCGGGAGGCTGAGACAGGAGGATCGCTTGAGCCTAGCAGTTTGAGGTTGCTGTGAGCTAGGCTGATGCCACAGCACTCTAGCCTGGGCAACAGAGTGAGATCCTATTGAAAAGAAAGAAAAAAAAAGAAAGAAAGAGAAGGGAGAGAAGAAAGAGAAGGAAGGAAGGGAAAAAGAAAAGAAAAAGAAAAAGAAAAAGAAAAGGAAAAAGAAAAGGAAAAAGAAAAGGAAAAAGAAAAGGAAAAAGAAAAGAAAAGGAAAAAGAAAAGGAAAAAGAAAAGGAAAAAGAAAAGGAAAAAGAAAAGGAAAAAGAAAAGGAAAAAGAAGGAAGGAAGGAAGGAAGGAAGGAGGAGGAAGGAGGGAGGAGGAGGGAGGAGGAGGGAGGAGAAGGGAGAGGAAGGAAGGAGGAAGGAAGGAAGGAAGAAGGAAGGAAGAGGAAGGAAGGAAGGAGAGGAAGGAAGGAAGGAAGAAGGAAGGAAGAGGAGAAGGAAGGAGAAGAAGAGAGGAGGAAGGAAGGAAGAAGGAAGAAGGAAGAGGAAGAAGGAAGAAGGAAGGGATATTGGATTTTGTGTGTGTTGGATATGTGTATGTTATAAAGATATGTAACAAATTCATCAAATTTAATGAAATAACCTAATGATCAGCATGTAACATTGTGATTTCCACTCAATTACAAAAGTTAAAAAGTTATTTTTCTTGAATATCCGGAATATCTTTTCTTGAATATGCTGCAGTTACATTCATGTTTTCAGCCACACACAAATATTCTACGTAATCTTTTCTTGCCAGGAACAGGTAGAGTTATAAAGAGTTTCTTTAAAGTATTTATTTGGAAACTGTACAAAAATGAGCAGGAAGCTGTGTATATACACTATAAAATAACTTGTTCTTAAACAAGTATTTAATCATATCTTTTCAAAATATTTCTTTTTATTATATATTCTTACAC